CCTGTTACGATGTTTGTTTTTTTCTAAGATAAAGTTGTTTTAGATCAATATTGCAGATTACAGTCAAACTGTAAAGTAATGCAAGGTGCAGAGGTGCAAACTGTACGAGTGAGTAGTCGAAAAAGTAATTGTTAGTTGCAGCCCTGATTGCAGATTAGCCGCTATAACTGCTAGTCTCGATGAGCTTCATTTGGAGCTGAACACTGTGGTGACCTCACACTCCCTCAGGAACACTCTTTCATATAGTCTGTGGGTCCAGGTTCTGGAGGAGCAGATCCTGAGGTTTGTCCGACAGCAGCTGCAGAGGCTTCACAGACTCCTGGCCTCAGATTACCCAGAATGCTCTGAGAGTGAGGAAGAGGAGAGCAAAGAGGTTTTGACCATCACCCTGGACTTCCTGAAGAAGATGGACCAGGAGCATCTGGCCCAGCGCCTGTTCAGCAGTAAGAACGTCCAGATGCTCTCCCATCTTCCCATATCCCTGTGTGTCAGATGCCCTCCCACATGAAATATTAGACATGTCTAACATTATAACACTTTTGTCTTGTTTAAAGGGAGTAAAGTTGGATTCAGAGATAAACTGAAGTGTGATCTGCAGCAGAAGTTCAGCTATGTGTTTCAAGGTGTGGCTAAAGCAGGAGACTCTGCCCCCCTGACTCAGATCTACACAGAGCTCTATATCACAGAGGGCGGAGCCTCAGAGGTCAACCAGGAACATGAGGTCAGACACATGGAGACCACGTCCAGGAGACTGGCTGTTCCAGAGACCATCACATGTGAAGACCTCTTTAAAGCCCGCCCACATTCACCAGAGCCAATCAGATTTGTGCTGACAAAGGGCGTGGCTGGCGTGGGGAAAACAGTGTTGACTCAGAAGTTCAGTCTAGACTGGGCTGAAGGCCGGGCCCACCAGGACCTCCAGCTGCTGTTCCCGTTCACTTTCAGAGAGCTCAATGTGCTCAGAGATTCACAGTTCAGCCTGGTAGGACTGCTGCACCACTTCTTCAGTCCATCAAAAGATCTCTGCAGCTTCCAACAGCTCCAAGTGCTCTTCATCTTTGACGGTCTGGACGAGTGCAGACTTCCTCTGGACTTCAGCCGAACCCAGGTCCTAACTGACCCTGCAGAGTCTGCCTCAGTGCACGTGCTGCTGGTAAACCTCATTAGGGGGAAGCTGCTTCCCTCCGCTCGAATCTGGATAACCACACGCCCAGCCGCAGCCAATCAGATCCCTGCAGAGTGCGTCTCCATTGTGACAGAGGTGCGAGGGTTTGCCGATTCGCAGAAGGAGCAGTACTTCAGGAAGAGGTTCAGAGACCAGGCCACAGTCATCATTTCCCACATCAAGGGGATCCGCAGCCTCCACATCATGTGCCACATCCCAGTCTTCTGCTGGATTCTCTCCACAGTACTACAGAATCTTCTGAAACAAACAAAGGAACCAGAACTGCCCCGGACTCTCACACGGATGTACGCACACTTCCTGGTGGTGCAGGCCAAAGTCCAGAGCATCAAGTATCACCAGGGATCAGGGGTGGACCTTCACTGGACTCCAGAGACCAGGGAGATGGTGTGGTCTCTGGGAAAACTGGCCTTTGAACAGTTGCAAAAAGGAAACCTGATCTTCTACGAGAGTGACCTAAGTGAGTGTGGGCTGGATGCTGCAGCGGCCTCAGTGTACTCCGGTGTGTTCACACAGGTCTTTAGACAGGAGTCAGGCCTGTACCAGGATAAGGTCTACTGCTTCATCCATCTGAGTGTGCAGGAGTTTATGGCTGCTCTTCATGTCCATCAGTCCTTCTACAGCTCTAGAAAGAACCTGCTGGATCCATCACACTCCCCCGAGAGACCAGAATATATCCATTATGAGTCTGAGAACCATGCAAAGTCAAAGGAGGATTTCACAGTCCCCTCTGAGAATCTTGAAGCAGAAGAAACAAGAGCCAAAGAGCACACAGAGACAATGAGACCGAAAAAGAGACAGCCACAGTCTGATAGACAAACTTCTGAGAGAACTCCTTTAACAAAATCAAAAACATTGCAACGATCCTTAAAATCTAAATTCAAAACAAAGCTCCACCAGATTTTTAAACTAAGAAGTGATAAATCAGGACAAACTAGACCAGACACTGAGAGTCCTGAGTCAGACCTTGAGGAGTCTGATGACTATTCAGATACAGAGATCTTCTCTGTTTCCTCCATGATACCAGACCCTGAGGCGGCCTTCTACCGCTCTGCTGTGGACCAGGCCTTACAGAGTCCAAACGGACACCTGGACCTGTTCCTGCGTTTCCTCCTGGGGCTGTCTCTGCTAACCAATCAAAGCCTGCTGCAGGGTCTGCTGACTCACACAGAAAGTGACCAGACCAATCAGGAGACAGTAAAGTACATTAAACAAAAGTTGAATGAAAAGGGTCTGTCTGCAGAGAGAAGCCTGAACCTGGTCCACTGTCTCAATGAGCTGCATGACCACAGTCTGGTGCAGGAGGTACAGAAGAACATTAGAGAAGGAAGTCTCTCTGACAGAAACATGTCTCCTGCTCAGTGGTCTGCTCTGTCCTTCGTCTTACTGTCCTCAGATTCAGACCTGGAGGAGTTTGACCTGAGGAAATACCAGGCCTCAGAGAACGCACTCCTGGGCCTGCTGCCAGTAGTCAGAGCCTCCACCAAGGCCCTGTGAGTCCAGACTGTATTTAAACTTTTGTGTAGTGGTTCTATACTCTAATGTCACTCTTTCTCCTTATACTATTTAAACTCTTGTGTGGTGGTTTTAGTCTCTAATGTCCCTCTCTCTTTTCAGTTTGATTGGCTGTGGCCTGTCCCCTAACAGCTGTGGTCCTCTGGCCTCAGTCCTCAGCTCCTCCAGTCTCACACATCTAGATCTCAGTCACAACGACCTCCAGGACTCAGGGGTGGAGTTGCTGTGTTCTGGACTGAAGAGCGCCCCTTGCAGACTGGAAACCCTCAAGTGAGATGTTCCTATGATGCACTCTGGCCCCTTTTGTCCACATGAGTGTAATGCTGTGTCTTTAGGTTATCTGGATGTTTGGTCTCAGAGAGGGGTGGGGCTGCTCTGGCCTCTGCTCTGAGCTCCGCCCCCACCCATCTGAGAGAGCTAGACCTAAGCTGCAACCATCCAGGATCCTCAGCCAAGCTCCTGATGGCTCTACAGGACCAGCGCCCCCTGCTGTCTGTCAGGTGAGACAGCCTGCTGCAGTCTGTCAAGTAAAACTGCTTGCTGCTGTCTGTCACATTAGACCAGGGGTGGGCAAACTTTCTGGCTCGTGGGCCACATAGGGTCCTAAAGTTTGACTGAAGGGCCGGACAGAAGACAGGACATAACGTGTTAAGAGCTCAGATTTATTACATTCTTATTCACATTTATCTAGGACTTCAGACGCGGGCTACACGTTTCATCACTGCTGTGACAGATTCAGAACACATGAAACTGTTGAGACCTGTTCCACTGCACACCACGAGTGAATGTATCTCGTGAGTTCACTGTTTTCGAATATGATGCCAAACAACTACAGATATACACCTGTGAGTGTGATAAAACCTGCCTCCAAAATGTTATACACATTATTAATTACAACTCAGAGTCCATAGGTTTCCTTGATTGATTTTTACCAACTCAAAATGGAAGCAGTGCAGTCTTATATCTTAAGCACCAACTACTTCACTCATGGTCCGAATAACTCCTGTAAGAACACTTGCATTGTGGCCAACATAATACGCCGCAACTCAATGTATATATAGTGCGCCATCTACTGGGAAACGCTGGAAATGCATGACAAATAAAACATCAACAAGGTTTATTATTGTAATTTATTCCAGTTCGGCGGGCCGGATGAAAAGGTTTAAAGGGCCGCATACGGCCCCTGGGCTGTAGTTTGCCCACCCCTGCATTAGACCATGCTGGCCCTGGTCTCTGGTCTGCTCTCTGGTCCCTGGTCTGGTCTCTGGTCTGGTTTGTAGTTTCTATTCTCTGCTCTGGTCTCTGATCTATGGTTGGTCTGCTCTAGTTTCTGGTCTCTGGTCATGTTCTTGATCTGGTGTCTGGTCTGGTCTAAACTGAACTTGCCTGTTTCAGGTTGGATCCTGGTGGAAAGCACTGGATGGTTCCAGGTTTGAGGAAGTGTGAGTTTGTTTTGTTTCATTCACACTGTGAAGTGCAGATTATGTTTCACATGTGTTAAAATCTCACCCAGTTCTCCTTCAGCTGACCATTTAACTCAGACATGAGCAGCAGATGTGACATGTAGATGTGATTCCATAATTGTTAACAACCATACTGTAAACAAGGGCCAAACTCATCTCTCCACTCATCTTTACACTATATGAATATGTTTCATAGATTTTCAAATAAAACTAGCCTAGTTTTCATTTACTTTTCCTCTCATCTGCTGGTGAAAGACAGGTACAATCCACTAAACATAAAAACAATTACAACAAAAATAATGAGATAAAATGTTTGTGTTTCAGACTCCTGTGAGTTCTCTCTAGACCCAAACACCACTCACAGATGCCTGCTTCTGTCTGAGGATTATTGGACGGTGAGACGTACGCTGTGGCAGGAGTATCTAGATCATAAGGACAGGTTCACAAACTGGCCTCAGGTACTGAGCTGCACTGGCCTGAGGGGTCGCTGTTACTGGGAGGTGGACTGGAGAGGGGCGGTTGATATTGGAGTGAGTTACAGAGGGATCAAACGGAGCGGACAGGGCCGGGAGTGTGTGTTTGGATTCAATGATCACTCCTGGAATCTGTATATCTATGGTGATGGAGGGTACTATGTCCGTCACAACAGCAACACAACACGACTTCCTCTCTCCCGTCACTCACAGAGAGAAGGCATGTTCTCTGGCAGAGTGGGTGTGTTCCTGGATTCTGAGGCTGGAGCTCTGTCCTTCTATGACATCTCTTCTGATGGAGAATTGTTCCATATCTGGACCTTCTCCTCATCCTTCTCTGAGCCTCTGTTTCCTGGGTTTGGTCTGTACAGAGAAGGTTCCACTGTGGCTCTGGTGAAAGAGAAGAGAAGATGAAATACATTTTAATGTGTTAATAAAATGGTGCATCAAGTTGCCCTGAGCTGGCTTTGCTTTGGTTTGAGTTTCTATCATAACTTTCTCAAGTTCTTCAAATTTATTTGTGTGACAAAAACATGTGACAAATGAGAAATGCTTTTATTAAATCTCTTTTTGGCAAAAAATGACATAGTGTAGCTGTAAAAACCAGGCCAATATGCAGTGTAGTGACTATTAGTCAATGAAAACTAACAAACAAAAGCAGTGAGAAAATATAGGACTAAACATAACAGAAAAAATATAGCCTCAAGAGGCAATGATCAGCCTTCGCACCCTAAACCATAAACTAACCCTAATCCCTAACTCTACCTTAACCTCTAACCTAACCCGACCCTTACCCCTAACCTCTAACCTTTACCCCTAACCCTAACCTAACCCTCTTCTCATTTTTTTAAGTGGTGATTTCTTTTAGAATCCAAGATGGCAGACTTCCAGTCTGTAAAAGGGTGTGGTCACAATATCATTTTTGACCGAGAGTATGTCACAAATCTGTGTACCAAATTTTGTCTGTACATATGACAAATACAATGTTATCATTCCATACAAATTGCCTTTTTACTGTCTTATATCAGTCTTTTTAGGGCCAGGGTGTCGACCCACGATTAAAGTTTCAGTGAAATCAGCCAAAGATTTTACCATTAGAATAACATGGAGAGTTTGTGTCATTGCTATGGCAAGATGGCTAATATTCTGATACAAGAACAATGTTTTGTTTTTTTTTTTAAGTTAATAAACTATTAATTTCCCTGGTCACTACGGGCCCTTCACTTCATGTCAGTTCATTTCCTGGCCACTAGTAGCATCACTTTGCTTCTGTTGCTCACGCCTAACTAAGCAGGGAGCTGTTGTCAATCTCTTGCCAAGAATATGGGCCGTCCTGTGTGGAACAGGGACATAAAGAGGATTTATGCTAAAGAAGAGACGGGGAGGAGGACAGACGGCTGACTCAGCATCTCAGGTTTAATGTTTGACAAGATTTTACAAAGAACAATTAGCAGCACTCCAACTTTTCTCACTGCACTATTCTCACCGGTCCTCAATTTCCACCGTCGATTTGTGGTGGGAAAGTCCAGAGCTGTTTTTTGGTCCAACCCTGTGGCGAAGAAAGGGAGACTTGCCAGTTCAGTTTAGATTTTGTGTACTGATAATAACAATGCATTTATAAAACTCCTTTCAAGGCAAGCAAAGCACTTCACACTGTATTATTCATTCATTCTATATACTAGGCAATGTGGGTGAAACGTCTTGCCTCCTAAGGCATAGGAGTTTTTTCCACTTGTGCCCCCACTGTGGCACCTGATATTCCCAGGTCTCCCATCCAATTATTAATCAGGTCTAGCCCTGCTGAGCTTCTGAGATGTGACGAGATCCGTCTTTGACAAGCTGATATAATGCGTTCACCTTAACTGTGTCAGTATATGGTCAGTTAATTTTTATTGCTGACCTGGACTCCTGACAGTCTCTAAGGAGTTGTTCTTGCTTTTCCTGGAATGTTCCACTTTAAGGCAAAGCAAGAACATCTCCATAGAGCCAGTGTTGGTCCTACCATAAAGGTTTCATACTGTTTATTTTATAATTCAAATGGTTTTCTCTCATCATTATTCTATCCTGAGTTTGATTTTTGAGTGATTCTGCATATTCTGCAGACGTGAATGAATAAATCTGAATAAAACCTGAATGAATAAACCTGTGCAACTCGTCCTCTGCTTCATTTGTACAATCAAACCTATTTCCTTTAATCTCACCAAACAAAGTATTCACAAAAAGCCAACATTTGATCATTTATTGAACTTGTGATCAGTAGCATGGTAGAGGTGGTCTCTTAGTTCTCCATCATTTGAAGTTCATTTTTAACCTTGGCAAAATAATATACATTTTACATTGTATCTCTCACACAGGATCCCCCAGGCCATGCACTGTTAATGGGCTAACGAAAATGCGATCAAACTTTGACTAAGAATTCAAAGTCGATACATCAAGGTGAACGCACACATTAGAAAGTCCAAAATGATGGTAGTAAAACAGTCAGTTTAATGGAGAGAGACACGCTTCATTATATGCCAGTGGTGTTGTTAGGACGGCCCTCATTTAAGATGTAATTACAACTTGACACTTGAGTGAACGCTGGTGGAGCAAGGATTAGATTACAGGGATGTATGACTCTGGGCAAATTAAATAATGATGTGGAATAGAAAGGGAAGGCTGAGGTTTATTTAAATAGATTGAAAAGTACCCAGCAAAAATATAGATATTTGACTTTAAATTATCAAGCAATCAATCAAAATCACTTTATTTGTCCTCACACATAGAGCAGTAAAATATAAGAGTAATAAAAAGATCAAATAAAAGTCTCAGCAGGTCATCAGATCCAGTGTCAGGGAGTGTGAGGAGAGTAGCAACCTACAGAACAAAAGTGTCTCTCCTGTGTGCCCTGCATTATCACAGCAGCCACCAGAAAGTTTAAGTCCTTTGAACGGCACATGCAGCACTTTTTAGCTGGTCAAAATCACAAAATATTGTGTTAAATTTTTTTTAAAAGTAAAAAAAACAAAAAAAAAACTGTTCGGTATGCCCATCATGGCAAACACGG